ACAGTGTAATGTCCTCCTGTTGGACAGTGTAATGTCTCTAGTGTGGACAGTGTAATGTCTCCTGTTGGACAGTGTAATGTCTCTAGTTGGACAGTGTAATGTCTCACTGTTGGACAGTGTAAATGTCTCACCATGGACAGTGTAATGTCTCCTGTTGGACAGTGTAATGTCTCACAGTTGGACAGTGTAATGTCTCACAGTTGGACAGTGTAATGTCTCACAGTTGGACAGTGTAATGTCTCTAGTTGGACAGTGTAATGTCTCACTGTTGGACAGTGTAATGTCTCACTCACATTGGACAGTGTAATGTCTCCTGTTGGACAGTGTAATGTCTCCTGTTGGACAGTGTAATGTCTCACAGTTGGACAGTGTAATGTCTCACCATTGGACAGTGTAGCCTGATAATGTCTTGGACAGTGTAATGTCTCACAGTTGGACAGTTGTAATGTCTCTAGTTGGACAGTGTAATGTCTCACAGTTGGACAGTGTAATGTCTCACAGTTGGACAGTGTAATGTCTCCTGTTGGACAGTGTAATGTCTCACAGTTGGACAGTGTAATGTCTCTAGTTGGACAGTGTAATGTCTCACAGTTGGACAGTGTAATGTCTCACAGTTGGACAGTGTAATGTCTCCTGTTGGACAGTGTAATGTCTCACAGTTGGACAGTGTAATGTCTCACATTTGGACAGTGTAATGTCTCACAGTTGGACAGTATAATGTCTCTAGTTGGACAGTATAAATGTCTCTAGGTTGGACCAGTGTAATGTCTCACATTGGACAGTGTAATGTCTCACAGTTGGACAGTGTAATGTCTCACAGTTGGACAGTATAATGTCTCAACAGTTGGACAGTGTAATGTCTCACAGTTGGACAGTAATAATGTCTCTAGTTGGACAGTGTAATGTCTCACAGTTGGGACAGTGTAATGTCTCACAGTTGGACAGTGTAATGTCTCACCATTGGACAGTGTAATGTCTCACAGTTGGACAGTGTAAATGTCTCTAGTTGGACAGTAGAATGTCTCTAGTTGGACAGTGTAATGTCTCACAGTTGGACAGTGTAAGGTCTCACCTCAACCATTGGACAGTGTAATGTCTCCTGTTGGACAGTGTAATGTCCTCACAGTTGGACAGTGTAATGTCTCCTGTTGGACAGTGTAAATGTCTCACAGTTGGACAGTGTTATGTCTCACAGTTGGACAGTGTAATGTCTCCTGTTGGACAGTGTAATGTCTCACAGTTGGACAGTGTAATGTCTCACAGTTGGACAGTGTAATGTCTCACAGTTGGACAGTGTAATGTCTCACAGTTGGACAGTGTAATGTCTCACCATTGGACAGTGTAATGTCTCACCATTGGACAGTGTAATGTCTCACCATTGGACAGTGTAATGTCTCCTGTTGGACAGTGTAATGTCTCACCATTGGACAGTGTAATGTCTCACCATTGGACAGTGTAATGTCTCACCATTGGACAGTGTAATGTCTCCTGTTGGACAGTGTAATGTCTCACAGTTGGACAGTGTAATGTCTCCTGTTGGACAGTGTAATGTCTCCTGTTGGACAGTGTAATGTCTCCTGTTGGACAGTGTAATGTCTCCTGTTGGACAGTGTAATGTCTCACAGTTGGACAGTGTAATGTCTCACAGTTGGACAGTGTAATGTCTCACAGTTGGACAGTGTAATGTCTCACCATTGGACAGTGTAATGTCTCCTGTTGGACAGTGTAATGTCTCTAGTTGGACAGTGTAATGTCTCACAGTTGGACAGTGTAATGTCTCCTGTTGGACAGTGTAATGTCTCACCATTGGACAGTGTAATGTCTCCTGTTGGACAGTGTAATGTCTCCTGTTGGACAGTGTAATGTCTCCTTTTGGACAGTGTAATGTCTCACAGTTGGACAGTGTAATGTCTCACAGTTGGACAGTGTAATGTCTCACTGTTGGACAGTGTAATGTCTCACAGTTGGACAGTGTAATGTCTCCTGTTGGACAGTGTAATGTCTCCTGTTGGACAGTGTAATGTCTCCTTTTGGACAGTGTAATGTCTCACAGTTGGACAGTGTAATGTCTCTAGTTGGACAGTGTAATGTCTCACAGTTGGACAGTGTAATGTCTCACAGTTGGACAGTGTAATGTCTCACTGTTGGACAGTGTAATGTCTCACAGTTGGACAGTGTAATGTCTCCTGTTGGACAGTGTAATGTCTCCTGTTGGACAGTGTAATGTCTCACAGTTGGACAGTGTAATGTCTCACAGTTGGACAGTGTAATGTCTCACAGTTGGACAGTGTAATGTCTCTAGTTGGACAGTGTAATGTCTCACAGTTGGACAGTGTAATGTCTCACAGTTGGACAGTGTAATGTCTCACAGTTGGACAGTGTAATGTCTCACAGTTGGACAGTGTAATGTCTCTAGTTGGACAGTGTAATGTCTCACAGTTGGACAGTGTAATGTCTCACAGTTGGACAGTGTAATGTCTCACAGTTGGACAGTGTAATGTCTCACAGTTGGACAGTGTAATGTCTCACAGTTGGACAGTGTAATGTCTCACTGTTGGACAGTGTAATGTCTCACAGTTGGACAGTGTAATGTCTCCTGTTGGACAGTGTAATGTCTCCTGTTGGACAGTGTAATGTCTCACAGTTGGACAGTGTAATGTCTCACAGTTGGACAGTGTAATGTCTCACAGTTGGACAGTGTAATGTCTCACAGTTGGACAGTGTAATGTCTCCTGTTGGACAGTGTAATGTCTCCTGTTGGACAGTGTAATGTCCAATGGCGAACCGTGTCTATCACAACTGGACCTTCTGTAGACACACACACCCCCCCGGCGTTATAATGTCCGTCTGTTCACTGAATTGTCGTCTTGAAAAGGGGACTCACAACAATTCCGCAACAACTTCATCTTCACCTGTTGCACTTGCCATTTCAACGTTAAAAACAATAAAACGGCATGAATTGCTTCGTCGCATTCATCTAGAATCCTCTGTCTCGCTGTCTCGAGCCAGTGAACTAGCGGGCCTTCTAGCACCTGGAACCGAGGGAAACTCTGAAAGAATACGCCCATTGGCTACAAATCAATATATGATTGGTTGATCAAACTGTCAGTCCAAATGTACGCTCTCATTCAGTGCAACGTCCAGGGCATTCTATCAAGGATATAGAATACCAGAGGCCTGTACTACGAAGCTGGTTCAACCTAACTGGATATGTTGGAGTTAGCCGGTTGGCCCAATCCAAAACATACGCGCTCTGGCTAAACTGTACTACGACGCTGGTTATCAAGTGGATCGCTCAAGCCAGCCGTGTCCTATCTAGTTAGGTGCGCGTTCACATGAAAGGGGTGGTATTTGGAGCATTCGACCAATCACAAACATGGACAAGCGTACTGACAGCGCAGCGTCATACTTCCTGAATGAAAAGTGAACTTTAATATTAGTCAAATATGAAGAAGTTAAACTTTAAACATCCATGACTTAAACACTTTATCCAGGATCAAAGCCACATAGCTGCACCTGCAAGGTGAATACAGCTGGTAAAAGAAAAAGTGTTTGAATGCGTACATTAACAGGTTTATGATATCACTGCCCCGTCTAAGACACGATCTGACTTTAATTACATTTGACTCAAGTGTTTCATCAACTTAATGTGTTGCTTAAAATAATACTTCTGCATCCAGTATGTGACACTGTGAGTGTTGCACGGCCAGATACGGCTCAGCTGACTCAGATAAGGAAATATATGATACATTATGATGTGATATGATATGAATGATAATGGGACACATCTACGTCTGCACTCACAGTGCCGCGGACTGTAGGCTACGTAATGTTACTTTGATCCGGTTACTTATGTTGTGGCAGATATTTAAGTAAGCTTTCTTAACGCTAATGTTATAATAGTTTGATTGCTCTGAAGATGGGAGGGGATATTCTATTAATTTTCACGTTCACACAGTCAGTTGATTTTGGCCGGCCGTCTTTCCTGCAACGGCAGTTTTTCTGTATTTCCTCTATCCTGTAATATGACTTGATCTTTAAACTCCGCACACGGAGCTCTGATTGGTCAGCAGGCGGTGCTTTCACTGAGTTGATCTCTTAGCCTGCAACCTAACCTGCTCCCGAGGAGGTTAGCCGCTCAGCATCAGTTACCATGGAGATCTAGCCCGCTAAAAAGAGAACCAGCGTCGTAGGACCGGAAAGCCCGAGTTTTCCCTGAAGTTAGCCGCTAAGAGAAAATCCAGCTTCGTAGTACAGGCCTCTGGTTGAAGGATATTCTACCCAGAGACCCAGAACAAGATCTGATTGGTTGCTTTCTTTTCTAACACAAAACCACTGAAATGCGTAGTGCATGGTCCGAGAAGGACAAACAAATCAACGTAACACTGTAATATTACAGATCAACAACACAGATACCATTCTCATTTATACATTTTATTACATTTTATTTATATAATTAAATCGATTTTTTGTTTGTTTTATCGGAGTGTTCCAGGGTATTCTCTGATACCTTGAAGGCCCTGACGGTTCGCCACTGGTAATGTCTGTTGTGCACCGACAGAAATGTTAAGAGAGTTTCATTTTTATGTTGTGTTATGGTTGTGTTGTTTTGTCTCTCACCATTTACCTGTCATTCCAGGCTTCCTGATTATCCACCTCTTGTGTGTCTCCCGTGCTCACCAGCCCCGCCCCTGAATGTTTCCACCTGTGTCTTGTTGCCGTGTGTTTAAATTCCCCAGTCTCCCGGTGTTCATTGTCAGTTCGTCTTGTCTCATGCCGAGGTCAGATCTCTGCTCTCCTTGATACCAAGATGTTTTTGTTCCTCACTACGCGAGCGATTTTCTTTTGTTCACTTTTCGTCATCTCATCAAGAGATTAGAAAGTGTTATTTTGTTCATCTATTTGAAAATAAAGTATCTTACAAACACTTTACCTCTGTATCCTGGGTCGTGCAATTGGGTCCTATACCCTGAGTTCTTGAGTTCGTAACAATGTCTCACCGTTGGACAGGGTGTAGATGACGGCAGAGTTGAAGGTGTCTCCGGCTCCGAGAGTATCGACGAGAGTTTCAGGAGGAAAGGCGTCTGAGTGAAGGACGACCCCATCAGGACCCAAAGCATCGGCTCCCTCCTCGGCCCAGGCACAAACCAGGACAGCTCTGAGAGACAGACATGCTGTTTAAATCATGGTCTGAATTTAATTAGTCACATTGATGGGACCAAGTGGTTTGTGGACTATGGTTTTGAAACCTTCAGTTTTCCAAAACCAGAGGTGATACAAAGAGGTGAAGCTACATTTAAAGAGTCCTCTCCAGCTGATGTTCAGGTGTATATCAGTATGTAGTGTATCTACTTTAAAGAGTCCTCTCCTGCTGATGTTCAGGTGTATATCAGTATGTAGTGTCTCTACTTTAAAGAGTCCTCTCCTGCTGATGTTCAGGTGTATATCAGCATGTAGTGTCTCTACTTTAAAGAGTCCTCTCCTGCTGATGTTCAGGTGTATATCAGTATGTAGTGTCTCTACTTTAAAGAGTCCTCTCCTGCTGATGTTCAGGTGTATATCAGTATGTAGTGTCTCTACTTTAAAGAGTCCTCTCCTGCTGATGTTCAGGTGTATATCAGTATGTAGTGTCTCTACTTTAAAGAGTCCTCTCCTGCTGATGTTCAGGTGTATATCAGTATGTAGTGTCTCTACTTTAAAGAGTCCTCTCCTGCTGATGTTCAGGTGTATATCAGTATGTAGTGTCTCTACTTTAAAGAGTCCTCTCCTGCTGATGTTCAGGTGTATATCAGTATGTAGTGTCTCTACTTTAAAGAGTCCTCTCCTGCTGATGTTCAGGTGTATATCAGTATGTAGTGTCTCTACTTTAAAGAGTCCTCTCCTGCTGATGTTCAGGTGTATATCAGTATGTAGTGTCTCTACTTTAAAGAGTCCTCTCCTGCTGATGTTCAGGTGTATATCAGTATGTAGTGTCTCTACTTTAAAGAGTCCTCTCCTGCTGATGTTCAGGTGTATATCAGTATGTAGTGTCTCTACTTGAACACAGGGATTTTAGCCTCTGCAGACCATTTACATGCACAGAAACCTAAAGAACAAACTACAGGAAAGGGAACACCACAGAAAGCAGAATAGGGCCTCTTTTAATGAAAAGCTGAACGGTGTTGTTTCGAAACAACTTTTCATGAAGTGAAAAATCTAAATGTAAAACTGGAAACATGAACAACACCTGCTGACCATTGACCTCCACTCACCCCTGTTTGACCCGGCTGTAGAGTCCTTTCAGAGCAGCTCCAGCCGACTGGAAGCCGAAATGACGAGCCACGTCTTTACTGACAAACACCTGAAGACAGGAAAACGTGATTTATGGGGAGTAAGACATAATGTTTAGTGATGTTACAGTAGCCAGTGTAAAGAGGGTCTCCTATCCTGCAAGATGCACTTTTTTACGTCTTTTATACATAAATATGTGTCCCCGTGCCGTGTGTCAGGAGACTCAGAAAGTGTCAGAAATTAAAACCCTCTCTCTTTTCCTCCGTACCCACATCTCTAAAAACGGGGGAACAACGGAGCTGATCCAGATTTGCGTCCGATATGACGTAATATCCAAAATGTGGGCGGGCTTTACACCCACGGGCCAATCAGAAACGTTGCTGTCAGAAACAATGAGACGTGTTCTGGAAGTAATATGGTCTGTGTTTACATTAGCATGCTAACACTCAGAGCTAACCTGTACTGGAGAGAGCATGTGTGAAGAAGCAGGAAATAGCAGGAACATTTTTAAAGCTAAGGACCCAGAACCTGAAGTTCTCTAACAGCAGGAACAGAGGGATATGAGGGATTTCTAAAATGCATGATCTGTTTGGTATTTTGAGCAAAACACTTCATAGACATGTTTTTTATATATTTGTATATATTTGAGACCCATAATATATGCCTAAAAATAGCTTGATAGGAGATCTTTAAAGACTCGCACCAGGTCACCGTGAGGAAACAGCTGATACAAAGGCTCTCTGGTCTTCTCTATCTCCACGGAGAGCGTGATCCTCTCCTGTGGAGGCAGCGGTCTGTTGAACACCTCCACCTGCTGGATCATCTGCACCTGCTGCTCAGCGTTTCGGCCCTGCAGGCGTCAAAGACCTGCGTTTAGTATCAGTGCATTGTGTTTAATATGTGAGTCACATTCAATACGTTTCCAACAACAGAGACAGATGTCCAGCTTCATAATCCTGAACGTCTCCCAGCTGTGTGCGTCACTCTTTAGTGTCCCCTGGTCTCCCAGCTGTGTGCGTCACTCTTTAGTGTCCCCTGGTCTCCCAGCTGTGTGCGTCACTCTTTAGTGTCCCCTGATCTCCAGCTGTGTGCGTCACTCTTTAGTGTCCCCTGGTCTCCCAGCTGTGTGCGTCACTCTTTAGTGTCCCTGGTCTCCCAGCTGTGTGCGTCACTCTTTAGTGTCCCCTGGTCTCCCAGCTGTGTGCGTCACTCTTTAGTGTCCCCTGGTCTCCCAGCTGTGTGCGTCACTCTTTAGTGTCCCCTGATCTCCCAGCTGTGTGCGTCACTCTTTAGTGTCCCCTGGTCTCCAGCTGTGTGCGTCACTCTTTAGTGTCCCCTGGTCTCCCAGCTGTGTGTGTCACTCTTTAGTGTCCCCTGGTCTCTCAGCTGTGTGCGTCACTCTTTAGTGTCCCCTGGTCTCCAGCTGTGTGCGTCACTCTTTAGTGTCCCCTGGTCTCCCAGCTGTGTGCGTCACTCTTTAGTGTCCCCTGGTCTCCCAGCTGTGTGCGTCACTCTTTGGTGTCCCCTGGTCTCCAGCTGTGTGCGTCACTCTTTAGTGTCCCCTGGTCTCCAGCTGTGTGCGTCACTCTTTAGTGTCCCCTGGTCTCCCAGCTGTGTGCGTCACTCTTTAGTGTCCCCTGGTCTCCCAGCTGTGTGCGTCACTCTTTAGTGTCCCCTGGTCTCCCAGCTGTGTGCGTCACTCTTTAGTGTCCCCTGGTCTCCCAGCTGTGTGTGTCACTCTTAGTGTCCCCTGGTCTCTCAGCTGTGTGCGTCACTCTTTAGTGTCCCCTGGTCTCCCAGCTGTGTGCGTCACTCTTTAGTGTCCCCTGGTCTCCCAGCTGTGTGCGTCACTCTTTAGTGTCCCCTGGTCTCTCAGCTGTGTGCGTCACTCTTTAGTGTCCCCTGGTCTCCCAGCTGTGTGCGTCACTCTTTAGTGTCCCCTGATCTCCCAGCTGTGTGCGTCACTCTTTAGTGTCCCCTGGTCTCCCAGCTGTGTGCGTCACTCTTTAGTGTCCCCTGGTCTCCCAGCTGTGTGCGTCACTCTTTAGTGTCCCCTGGTCTCCCAGCTGTGTGCGTCACTCTTTAGTGTCCCCTGATCTCCCAGCTGTGTGCGTCACTCTTTAGTGTCCCCTGGTCTCCAGCTGTGTGCGTCACTCTTTAGTGTCCCCTGGTCTCCCAGCTGTGTGTGTCACTCTTTAGTGTCCCCTGGTCTCTCAGCTGTGTTCGTCACTCTTTAGTGTCCCCTGGTCTCCAGCTGTGTGCGTCACTCTTTAGTGTCCCCTGGTCTCCCAGCTGTGTGCGTCACTCTTTAGTGTCCCCTGGTCTCCCAGCTGTGTGCGTCACTCTTTAGTGTCCCCTGGTCTCCCAGCTGTGTGCGTCACTCTTTAGTGTCCCCTGGTCTCCCAGCTGTGTGCGTCACTCTTTGGTGTCCCCTGGTCTCCAGCTGTGTGCGTCACTCTTTAGTGTCCCCTGGTCTCCAGCTGTGTGCGTCACTCTTTAGTGTCCCCTGGTCTCCCAGCTGTGTGCGTCACTCTTTAGTGTCCCCTGGTCTCCCAGCTGTGTGCGTCACTCTTTAGTGTCCCCTGGTCTCCCAGCTGTGTGCGTCACTCTTTAGTGTCCCCTGGTCTCCCAGCTGTGTGTGTCACTCTTTAGTGTCCCCTGGTCTCTCAGCTGTGTGCGTCACTCTTTAGTGTCCCCTGGTCTCCCAGCTGTGTGCGTCACTCTTTAGTGTCCCCTGGTCTCCCAGCTGTGTGCGTCACTCTTTAGTGTCCCCTGGTCTCTCAGCTGTGTGCGTCACTCTTTAGTGTCCCCTGGTCTCCCAGCTGTGTGCGTCACTCTTTAGTGTCCCCTGATCTCCCAGCTGTGTGCGTCACTCTTTAGTGTCCCCTGGTCTCCCAGCTGTGTGCCAGGTTTTCCAGGTTTAATCGGGTATATCTGCCTGCTTCAGTTTCTCTGACTTATTCATATGTGTTTTCCTGTATTTTTTCATATATTTGTATTTCTATCTTTTTTGCTCACCTCCCAGTGGATCCACTTGAACTGATGGAGGTCGACTTTGGAGAAATCTTCAGCGGTGACATCGGGAAGATTCCTGACGACCAGGAGGTCAGAGTTATTAAAGTCTTTCACGTCTATCAGTCGCTAAACGTCCGACATGCTGAGGACGTTTAGCGACTGATGCAGGCTTCATTTAGACATGAACTCCCCATGTTTGATCAGCTCAGCTGCAACAGGAAGTTGTGTTACTGTGATGTCACTTGTAGTTTATCCATTGATTTATAAGACTGAATTAAAATGAAATTAAAATATGACACATTTCTCCAACAGTCACAATGAAACATAAAACATTGTTCTTTTATTCCAAGATGTATGTGTGAAGAGTTCCCTCTCAAAGTCCTCCAGCAGACAGCTGTACTCAATCCTCTCCAGGTGTGAGAGTACTGAGCTGTCATTTATCTTTTCAGATTCTATCACTCGTTTTGAAAGGAAACTCCTCACAGACGTCAGATTAAAACCAGTTTGATGAATTAACAGGTTGATTGATTAGAAAAAGTGATTGAAGATGAATTCAACAGAAACCATTGCAGAGATTCAAACAGGAACCAGACCAGTTGATGGTTTAGTGATGAAGCACTTAAAGGACCCGGTCTGTGGCAGCCATGATAAGAGCTGTCTGATTCTCTAGATGATAGGAAAGGAGCTTCAATACTTCCTTTATAACCTCCTTTAGGAAACACTGGACCTTCCTTTAGGAAAGGAAAGGAGAAAATGCTGTTCCACAATACCCTGCAGCCGCAACATTTACCATGACACAACATTCGTCCGTTAACGGAAACAACCGATCGTGGGCAAGAAATGCATATCATGAAAGTTACGATGCTTATTAAGCATTTCACAACTTAACCCCTAACCCTAACCCAAGGTACAGGGCTTTGTTTTGAACGTTCAACACTATAATAATCAAAAGCAGGGGGTTGAGGTGCCTTTGTGACGTGCAACAACATTAACATGAACCTTGCTGTTGGTCGCTTGTTAGCAGACCCTTCACGCCATGGCAGAGCGAGCAGGTTCAGGCAGGGCCCGTAGTGACAGCCCTATCGTTTAAATCTACTACCCACAAATAAACATATGGACATGGGTTACTATTTAAAACAAATGGTAAATGTATTTAGGAACCTATCCATGTGATTTTAAGTGGGGGTGGACCTCAAATCCTCCAGGGGGCATGCTCCCCCGGTAAGATTTGTTTTTTAATTTTGGAGTTAAATGCATCAATCTGGTGCACTTTGAGGGGGAAATAAAGAGACTAGATCTATGGGAACACCTATATGAAACAGAACTGTATACATTTCAATAATCATAAAGTTTATCTTACCTTTTTTCCCCTAGTTAACTTTTTTATTTTTTATTCATGCATATTTTACTAATCACTCCCTCAAATGGAAATATGTGTTTACATAAATGGTGACCAAACCGTTTGAGACCCACTGAGAACTTAGACTAAGTTAACTATCTAAACACTCAGAGAGTCCTTAACCTCACTGAGCTGAGGTTATCCCGAGCTTGAGTGACACACAGAGACCAATCGAGGGCTTTGATTTATGATCTGTATGACAGTGGCCATGTCGGCAGACCACATCATGTAGACAGCCAGTCACCCTGTGTGAGGCAGACCACATCATGTAGACAGCCAGTCACCCTGTGTGAGGCAGACCACATCATGTAGACAGCCAGTCACCCTGTGTGAGGCAGACCACATCATGTAGACAGCCAGTCGCCCTGTGTGAGGCAGGCCACATCATGTAGACAGCCAGTCACCCTGTGTGAGGCAGACCACATCATGTAGACAGCCAGTCACCCTGTGTGAGGCAGACCACATCATGTAGACAGCCAGTCACCCTGTGTGAGGCAGACCCACATCATGTAGACAGCCAGTCACCCTGTGTGAGGCAGACCACATCATGTAGACAGCCAGTCGCCCTGTGTGAGGCAGACCCACATCATGTAGACAGCCAGTCGCCCTGTGTGAGGCAGACCCACATCATGTAGACAGCCAGTCACCCTGTGTGAGGCAGACCCACATCATGTAGACAGCCAGTCACCCTGTGTGAGGCAGACCACATCATGTAGACAGCCAGTCACCCTGTGTGAGGCAGACCACATCATGTAGACAGCCAGTCACCCTGTGTGAGGCAGGCCACATCATGTAGACAGCCAGTCACCCTGTGTGAGGCAGACCACCACATGTAGACAGCCAGTCACCCTGTGTGAGGCAGGCCACATCATGTAGACAGCCAGTCACCCTGTGTGAGGCAGACCACCACATGTAGACAGCCAGTCACCCTGTGTGGGGCAGGCCACTTAACAGGCCAGGCCATCGGGAAACCCCCCGGTCCTCCCGATGGCCAGTCCGGGACTGGGTACAGGAGGCGTAGAGCAAGGGATCATTGTCCACAAGTTAATCGATCACAGATGGCGTCGTGGTCGCGGACGAAAAAAGAAAAAAAAAAAAAAATTATTATAAAAAAATACCTAAATGGGTCGCGAAATATACTTGGGCGGCCGTTAATATACCTGGGCGGCCCGCCCAAGTATAGTCTATGTGTGGGAAACCCTGGAGAGAGACCATCTAAAAATATGTTGAAATGTTGTCGAGTTTTCTTTCTCCTCCAGGTAGATCAGGTTCAACGCCTGGCTCTGCAGTGGGTCAATATAACAGAATCAGAATCAGGACTAGAATTAGATTCAGGACCAGGACCAAGATCTGGTCCAGGACCAGAGTCAGGATAAGGACCAGGATCAGGATTAGGACCAGGATCAGGATTAGGACCAGGACCAGACTCAGGATCAGGATTAGAACCAGGATCAGGATTATTGCCAGGTACGTTTACATATAGAGGAATTTGATTTGGTGTCTGGTGGTGCGAACATAGACAATCTGAGAATTAGGATCAGGTTTAGCATCAAGACCATGATCAAGATCAGGATCAGGATCAGGACTAGAATTAGATTCAGGACCAGGACCAAGATTAGAACCAGACTCAGGATTAGGACCAGGACCAGGATCAGGATTAGGACCAATATCAGGACCAAGATCAGGGCCATGATCAAGACCATGATCAAGATCAGGATCAGGACTAGAATTAGATTCAGGACCAGGACCAAGATTAGAACCAGACTCAGGATTAGGACCAGGACCAGGATCAGGATTAGGACCAATATCAGGACCAAGATCAGGGCCATGATCAAGACCATGATCAAGATCAGGATCAGGACTAGAATTAGATTCAGGACCAGGACCAAGATTAGAACCAGACTCAGGATTAGGACCAGGACCAGGATCAGGATTAGGACCAATATCAGGACCAAGATCAGGGCCATGATCAAGACCATGATCAGGATCAGGACCATGATCAGGATCAGGATCAGGATCAGGATCAGGACCAGGATTAAATGGATTAAATTAATTTCAGAGAAAGCTGCATGCCACTCTTCAGATGGTCTTACGTGTCGGAGAGAATGACGGTTCGAGATCCGCTAGCCGGGCAAACAACACAACAGGCAGAAGGAGTTTCACCTTCGACCTGCAGCACGACCGCAGAGACGTCGACATCACGCCGCGAGAAGTCGGCCATGATGAAACTGACAGACACACACAGGAAACTGCTTGATATCAACTCCAAAATAAAAGCATGAGCGGGCAGAAAACTGTATCCTGAAGACCCTGATGATGATGATGATGATGATGATTTACCTGAAATAGAGATGGTTAGACACACACACACACACACACACACACACACACAGCTTTCACACCTGTTCATGTGCAGGATTGTGCGGCTTCCTGTGCTGATGTTGCTGATGACCACAGAAGCAGGAAGTTCACACTGAGCGCGCTCAGGCACCAGAGACACATCGATGTGGAACTTCTGAAAATCCTCCAAAATAAAACTACAGACAGGAAACGTTTTCACTGCTTTTCAGATCCTCCATGGACAGTAATACACAGACATACATTAATGTATACTTCATATGATGACAGATGGATGTGTCATCGATTAGTTCATGGATGGATGATTGATGTGGTGATGGATGATTGATGTGGTGATGGATGATTGATGTGGTGATGGATGATGGTGATGGATGATTGATGTGGGTGATGGATGATTGATGTGGTGATGGATGATGGTGATGGATGATTGATGTGGTGATGGATGATGGTGATGGATGATTGATGTGGTGATGGATATACCGATGGATGTATTGATGAAAGATGAATGTGATTATAGATGTAATGATGGATGTAGTGATGCATGTACTGATGAATGTGTTGATGGAGGTGATGATGGATGTGATGATGGAGGTGATGATGGAGGTGATGATGGAGGTGATGATAGATGTATGGTTCGATGAGGGATGTCTTTGATGGATGATGGTTTCATCAATCCATTGATAATGGATGGATGGATGTATCGATAGATGACATGTGGTGATGCATGTACCGATGGATGAATGATGGATGTGATTAAAGATGAAATGACAGATGAAAGTTGATGGATGTACTAATGGATGGATGGTTGTATCAATCCATTGATAATGGACGGATGTATCAATGGATGAATTGGTGGATTTGTCAATGGATGTATCAATAAATGATGGATGTATTGATGGGTGGATGGTGGATGGTGGATGTATTGATGGTGGTATCGAAGGATGATGGCTGTGTCAATAGTTTTATTAATTGATGATGGATGATTTAATGGACATATAGATGGATGAATGTTGTATTCAAAGAAGTTTGATGGATGTATTGATGGATGGTGCATGTATTGATGGATGTGTTGATGGATGATGGTTGTATCAAGCCACTGATAATGGTTGGATAGATGGATGGATGTATCGATAGATGATGAATGGATTGATGGATGTATTGATGGATGGATGGTGGATGTGTCAATTGTTGTATCAATAGATGTGTCAATGGATGATATACAGTATGTGTTGATGGATGATGTATGTGTTAGTAGTTGTATTAATGGATGATGGATGATTTAATGGACGTATAGATGGATGAATGTTGTATTCAAAGAAGTTTGATGGATGTATCGATGGATGATAGATGTGGTGATGCATGTATCGATGGATGATGATGGATGTATTGATGGATGGATGGTGGATGTATTGATGGATGTATCGATGGATGATGATGGATGTATTGATGGATGGATGGTGGATGTGTTGATGGATGTATTGATGGATGGATGGTGGATGAATGTTGTATTGAAAGAAGTTTGATGGATGTATAGATGGATGGTGTATGTAACGATGGATGGTTCCAATTAGTTTATTGATCAGTTGATTAATGTGTTAATAGTAATTTAATTGATCAGTACTCACTCTGCCACATATCCTGAGGACAGTGAGCCCATGAAGGCGCAAGGCGCTCCGAGCAGAGACAGCACTGTGCACGAGTTTGAAGCGTTTCCTCCTCGCTGCCAACGTTGTGACAAACACCTGCAGATCACATCAACAACCAACATCAGGAGGCTCAAAAACATCAGATATGTGCGGAGTGATGAGTACTCTGTAGATTAAAAGACACATTCTATTTCTCATTTTGTTAGAAAACTCTCACTGGTCACTGGCTTGAGCTTCAATATCAGGATCCATGTATTGATCCTCTCAAGAATGGAAGTAGTCATCACATACAGAGCATTTGGTCCAACTAGTTCCTGAACAGTGTCCTTCACATGCTGATATACAAGAGAGTGTGCTAACCTGCTGTCCCTGTTAGCATTCCTCTGTGTGCATTAGCATGTGTGCTAACCTGCTGTCCCTGTTAGCATTCCTCTGTGTGCATTAGCATGTGTGCTAACCTGCTGTCACTGCTAGTATTCCTCTGTGTGCATTAGCATGTGTGCTAACCTGCTGTCCCTGTTAGCATTCCTCTGTGTGCATTAGCATGTGTGCTAACCAGCTGTCCCTGTTAGCATTCCTCTGTGTGCATTAGCATGTGTGCTGTTAGAAATTAAAATCAATGTTTTATGGCATGATTTAGTCTAAAACATACCGTCAGTTTAAAAGCAGTCAGATGAAGAACTCATTACTTTTAGTATTGTGTTCACACCTTAAAAGGTGTGAAAGGAGGGATTGTTAGAAATTAAAATCAATGTTAAACAGCATAATTCAGTCTAAAATATATCGTCAGTTTAAAGCTGTTTTATTGTGGAAAAAACCCGGAAGTTCTCAGGAAATCAATGCCAAGCTTTTATTCTGAAAATCCTTTATCCGGTTAGCATGTGACTAAATATTACGTTTTCTGAATGTAAAGTTAAAATGACTTGGAGTGTTACACACCAAATCGTACGGACTTTAACACTACATCAATAGACGTTAAGATATTATTACTGCTGAATATTAAATGAAGGAACAGTTGATCATGGAGTGTTTACACATTACGTGAGTAGCTATGACGTCAGAGGGAACTACCGTAAATGAGAACTGTGTCGTAAAAGTGTTTCCAGGACTTCTAAACTAACGATTACAGCTGTTTATAAGGTATTAAATAGAAAGTCATGACAGAGATAAGGAGGAGAGAATGCTTAAGGAAATAGGCAGAGAATACCAATGTCGAAATCATCTGTGCTCTCGCGATATCGAACCCACAAGATGAGAAGGGCGGTCCCACTATCTTCACAGCGGGGGACAACGAGACGTGGATAAAAAGGCAGGACGGAAGATAACTGAGGCCTTTTCCTTCGCTGCAGCCCACCCTGAAGACATCACCGGCTTTGTCTCTCCATTCACCATGCTTGTTCTTTAACCACGTTACTTAATTAAACTACCCATTTGAACCTTTTCAGAGACTCCATTAGTCTCGTTATTTTAAGTTTCTTTCCTGGGAGCGAGAAGATCACGAATTATCAACAACTTGGTGACTCTGACATGTGATATCGACACTGGGAGAGGAATCGCTAGTTTCGACGGAGATTTTGCGAACCAAAAGACACACAAAGGGCCCATACACAAACGGTAAGAAGAAGCCAGTTATATCAAATTCTTCAATAGCTTATATAGAACCATTTAGATTTGTGTGTTTTGCGGCGAGCAGGACATCCTGAGAACAGCTGTTAATTTAATGTTAAATATATAAATTTAAACCAAACCACGTGGCGTTGTTTTAGAGCAAGCAGGGTGAGTCTATTTTCCTTTCTTTGATTCATTAACCAACTGCATGTTTTTTAAACCAACTGCATGATTATAATGTGTGTGTTTTCCAAGCCGGATATATTAATGTGCTTTTAAGCCGGTATTTATATAATCTTTTAAAAAAAAAAAAAATAAAAAAAAAAAAAAAAAAAAAATAAAAAAAAAAGAAAAAAAAAAATCCCAGATATTGAAGTTAAGTTCGGATGACATAGGATATTTGTTATCAGGAGCGAAGGTACTATTCAGTAGATTAGTGATTCATCTTTGATACATTTAAGGACTATATCCAACTACTTATTATATTGTGTTTGACGACTTATAGATGGACTCTTGTCGTTTTGTATATTCTCAAGACAGATGGTATCTTCTTGACAGAGAAATAGATGGTATCTTTTCTCGTTGTTATTAGCAAGTTAAAGATGGAATCTTCTTGTTAAAGAGAGTTGATGGCATTGTCTCGTTTTTAGTCTCAAGATCAGATGGAATCGTCTTGTTTCATTGTCCCAAATAAGTGAGATGGTCTCTTGTTTAATTGGTGATAAGAGTCTGTGGAAGTCTGAAGTATACTCTTTAATCATTGCGTGTGCATTACGGAAAGAAATGCGGAATTCGTGCGTTAGATAGACGATATTCTTCTGATAGTGTTTGACTGGCTTCCCATTTGGTCGCACAATAGCGTGAGAGTTGCCCAGACGACCATAGGCTAAATAGTTTTGATGGTCTCTAACTATTTTGTATTAACTTGTTTAAATTGTATAGCATATTGAGAGTGTCGTGCTGTTATACTGCTCTGAAGTTTAGCCTGGAATGAGGTCTCCTTGTTGAGATCAACACCTCCAGGATTTCAACGCATCAGAGACAGCCATTCTTCTTGCAAAAAACTCTTTGTTCTGCAGGTCAGCATTTGAAATCAGTTGCCATCTTGTTTTGACCTCATGTTGACAAACAATGACATAGCAGTCGCCATTCTGTGAAATGCAAATTCAGAGGACCAGTTGTTGTCTTTTTGAAATCCATTCAGTTTCACTCACATGAGGCTAATTCAATATTCATGACCTCCATAGTGTGTAGAAAAAATCATTCTTCTTGAGTCAAAGTTGGAATTAGATATTCCATTTTGCTGAATCAGGTTATCTATACCGTTGGAGTTTGGTTTTTGAAGAAAAAGATTATTGTATTTTCTAAAAAGCTCAAATCTGATTTTTGAAATATTAGTCCTTGCAAAGGAGTTTTACTTGCTTATGCTTATACTGTGCAATGTGGTTTGGCTGTTTTATGCTTTGTCGATTAATCCTAAAAATTGTGATTGCAAGTGTATTCGCTGGTTTAAGTTTGACTGTTTAATCATAAAGTGAATTTCTTTCCCATATCAAAAGTAGTTTTTTAAGAAAATTAGCTTCTTGTTAAAAAGAAGTCCGTTTTTAGAAAAATTTAAAAGGGTGGAAAAAAGCTGAAAAATTACAACAGCGCACTCTGCTGGTTGTACAGAATTGTTGCACAAGAAATAGGGGTAAAAGGACAAACGTATAAATACAACACCAATTGATTATAATTATGCTAAGGTTTACTTTCAAGTATTATAGATGAACACGTACTTCATCACACATAGATAGAATCACAGGTGGTTCCTGATATTAAGATAAGAAACCTTACATAAGTCTTTCAACCTAGACTGTAGAATACCTAAACACCACACAATTGAAGTAAAAATATAGTTTATGACATTAGCATAATTTCATGCACTTTGGAATACACTATACACAGTAAAGCTAGATTTTTACGAGATTTCTATTTGCATATTTCAAAGCCAAGCCACTGTACAATGTTTATCAAAAAAAAAAAAAAATCTAAAAAAAAAAAAAAATTTGCATATTTTTTATTTTACTTTATTAATCGTTTAAAAAAAAAAAAAAAAAAAAAAAAAAAAAAAAAAAAATCCCAGATATTGAAGTTAGGTTCGGATGACATAGGATATTTGTTATCAGGAGCGAAGGTACTATTCAGTAGATTAGTGATTCATCTTTGATACATTTAATAACTATATCCAACTACTTAAGAAATATGTCGCCAAAATACACTAAGTTAGGAGCACCCGCAGAGCCAGGGTCAACTGCAGACATCAAGGAAAAGGTACATGTCAGATCAGATGCCACAACACATGCATCAGACAGACAAAAGATCTGGAAACAGATACAGGAATTGTTTGATCAATGGCAGACGAGAGGATTGATTCCAGCAGATGACCAACCTGGCCCAACAAAAGCCCATAGAAAAGCTGTAGTTGACTATGAAAATGGAGAATACCTACTTCAGCATGAAAATTGGGAGAAAGCCGGACGAATTTCTTGGCATAAGCCTGGAAAAAGCGCTATTAAAAATGCGGAAAACAGGAAAACAACCGTTACAATTCTGATACTCCATCTGAAATATGTCTGCCAAGAATCGACAAACAGCATGTATGTGATTCAAGAAGCAGGTCTGCCAGCAAAGGAAGACACAGCAGAAAAAACAGAAGATGTTCCAGTGATCCAAACTCCAAGGCTCTACCCAAGCCTGCCTGAGCCACCTCCTCCTTACATGACAGGAACAGATCTTTTCTCTCATACCTCAATACAAGCCCCAACGTTTAATGTCTCAGGAGGAATATTGAAGTTGGACGAGGTCCCTACGGAAAGAAGTGTTAAAGAGTTAGAGTATGAAGTAAGAATGCTAAACAGTAAGTCTGACCACCTCGAACAAAACATGCAAGAGATAAAGGACATGACTAGAGATAAAAGAGATCAGCAAAGCACATTGCGAACACCCATGTCATTCCAGCCCAGCAACCAACCTCTCAGTGCTGAGGCATTATCGCCGGCAGGTTTAGACATGCCGTCTTTCTCTCTACTACTACCAACAGCGGCAGGGAGAGACGCACAGGAAAAGTTCATAGATCAACAGGAACACAGACAAGCTGCAGAAGAAAGACGAAAGCAAGAGGAGGCATATAATGACAGGAGGGCAGTAAGACAAAGAAAAGAAGAGGATTACCAAGAAAGTCAGGTGCGAAGACGTCGAGAGGATGAAAGATCCCAAGAAATGATGATGGAAGAAAGACAAAACAAACATGGGCAAGACAGAGAAAAGAAAGAAAGAAAACGAGTAACTAAAAAATGGGAAGAAGCTCAAACATCACGCCGAACAAACTACTCTCCTGACAACGATTATTCCAAAGGACAAGAACAGGACGGCGGCAGGGCACAGTCTGTAACCAGTAGGCACTCCCCATACCAAGAACAGTTACACCAACGAAGCAGTATTGTATC